GTAAGTACTTCAAGTTTTCTTCACTTTCAGCAAGCAAGGTTGTATCATCTGCATAACACAGTTTGTTAATGAGTCTTCCTCCAATCCTGATGCCCTGGTCTTCATATAGTCCACCTTCTCAGATTATTTGTTCATCATGCAGATTGGTGAAAGGATACAGCCCTGACGCACACCTTTCCTGATTTTAACCAGATAGTATTCTCTTGTTCTGTTCAAACAACAGCCTCTTTGTCTATGTGCAGCTTCCTCATGAGCACAATTAAGTGTCCCGGAATTCCCAATCTTCGCAATGTTATCTGTAACTTGTTATGATCCATACAGTCAAATGCCTTTGCATAGTCAATAAAACACAGGTAAACATCTTTCCGGTATTCTCTGCTTTCAGCCAAAATCCATCTGATGTCAGCAGTGATATCCCTAGTTCTGCATCCTATTCTGAATCCAGTTTGATCTGGCAATTCCCTTGTGATGTACTACGGCAGCCACTTTTGAATGATCTTCAGTAAAATTTTACTTATGTATGATATTGATATTGCTCAATAATTTCTGCATTCAGTTGGATCACCCTTCTTTGGAATGAGCATAAATATGAATCTCTTCCAGATGGTTGGCCAGGTAGATGTCTTCCAAATGTCTTGGCATAGATGAGTGAGCACTTCCAGCACTGCATCCGTTTGCTGAAACATCTCAATCGGTATTCCATCAATTCCTGGAGCCTTGTTTTTCGGCAGTGCCTTCAGTGCAGCTGGGACCTCTTCCTTCAGTACTGTCAGTACCTGATCATATGCTACCTCCTGAAATGGTTGAACGTCAACCAATTCTTTTTGGTATAGTGACTCTATGTATTCCTTCCATCTTATTTTGATGCTTCCTGTGTTGTTTAATATTTCCACATAGAATTCTTCAGTATTGCAACTTGAGGCTTGAATTTTTGCTTTAGTTCTTTCAGCTTGAGAAATGCCAAGCATGTTCTTCCCTTTTGGTTTTCTAACTCCAGGTCTTTGCACATGTCATTATAATACTTTACTTTGTCTTCTTTATCTGCCTTTGAAATCTTCTGTTCATTTTTACTTCATTTTTTTCCATTTGCTTTAGCTACTCAACGTTCAAGAGCAAGTTTCAGAGTCTCTTCTGACGTCCATTTTGGTCTTTTCTTTCTTTCCTGTCTGTTTAATGATCTCCTGCTTTCTTCATGTATCATTTCCTTGATGTCATTCCACAAGTCACCTGGTCTTAGGTCATTAGTGTTCAACATGTCAAATCTATTCTTGAGATGGTCTCTAAATTCAGGTGGAATGTACTCAGGGTCGCACTTTGGCTCTTGTGGACTTTTTCTAATTTTCTTCACCTGCAACTTGAACTTGCATATGGGCAATTGATGGTCTGTTCCGCAATTGGCCCCGGCCTTGTTCTGACTGATGATATTGAGCTTTCCCATTGTCTCTTTCCACAGATGTAGTCAATTTGATTCCTGTGTATTCCATCTGGCGATGTCCACGTGTATGGTGGCTGTTTATATTGTTGAAAAAAGATACTTGCAGTGAAAAAGTCATTGGTCTTACAAAATTCTATCATGCAATCTCCAGCATCATTTCTATCACCAAAGCTGTATTTTCCCACTACCAATCCTTCTTCATTTCCAACTTTTGCATTCCAGTTACCAGTAATTATCAGTACATCCTGATTGCACGTTCGATCAATTTCAGACTTCAGAAGTTGGTAAAAATCTTCAGTTTCTTCATCTTTGGCCTTAATGGTTGGTGCATAAATTTGAATAATAGTCATATTAACTGGTCTTCCTTGTAGGCATATGGATATTATCCTATCACTGAGAGCATTGTACTTCAGGATAGATCTTGAAATATTCTTTTTGATGATGAATGCAACTCCATCCGTCTTCAAGTTGTCATTCGCTGCATAGTAGACCGTATGATTGTCTGAGTCAGAATGGCCAATACCAGTCCATTTCAGCTCACCAATGCCTACGATATCGATGTTTATGCATTCCATTTCATTTTTGACAATTTCCTAGATTTGTACCTCGTACATTCCACATTCCGATTATTAATGGATGTTTACAGCTGTTTCTTCTCATTTGGAGTCATGCCACATCAGCAAACGAAGGTCCCAAAAGCTTGACTCCATCCACATCATTAAGGTCGACTCTACTTTTCAGAAGGCAGCTCCTTCCCAGTCACATTTTGAGTGCCTTCCAGCCTGAAGGGCTCATCTTCCAGCACTGTATCAGGCAGTGCTCCACCACTATTCATAAGGTTTTCACTGGATAATTCTTTTCAGAAGTAGATTTCCAGGTCCTTCTTCCTAGTCTGTCTTAAATCTGGAAGCTCAGCTGAAACCTATCCACCATAGGTGACCCTGCTGATATTTGAATACTGATGGCATAGCTTCCAGCATCACAGTAACACGCAAGCCCCCACAGTATGACAAACTGACAGATGCATGGGGGAAACATACTTGGGCGCAAACTGAGTCTAGCAAAATATCATTGCCTTGACATTTGATTGGAAAAGCAACAAAAACTGGACTCATCTTAAAATGATATGTGAATATGAAGAATTGGTAAATAATCATGTTATGCTGTGTGTTCATCAGAGTCTTAAAGTATTATGTTACTTTTTTCAGTAATATTTAAAGAGTGTGGAAATACTGGAACTAACAAATAGGTCAAAATGATGATTGGGATAGGAAGATCCTATAAGGAAAGGTTAAAGGATACTTTTGCTCCCATAGGCTTCTTGCTTTACTACAGTATTAATTAGAAGAAAAATGTTTTATTTGTCCAAACTACATCTTCTTCTAATACAGACAGAACCTCCCTCCTTTGGATGAGGATAGGGAAATCATGAGTACACTATTCATGTTTTAATAATATTTAAAACTGAAGGTTTTAAGTATTTTTCTTTACACGAATACAAGACTAGCATATTGGATAATTTCAGCTAGCTATCTAAGTACAACATGCTATGGAGTTGACATTATCTAGTAGAACTAGTTGATTTCTGAGATTTCCTTTTACTCCTGTTCTTTGTTCATACTCTCCTTTAATTAAAACAAAAAATAATAAAAAATAAAAACCCTGGATGTTACTTCACATCTGTCAGAATTTATGCTTTGTTATTTGAATTGTGGTTTGATCAGTATTTAATCCATGTCTAAAGGAGACTCAGTGGGAATTATTAAAGTAATTAAAATTGACAATAAAGATATATAAGGTCATTCTAGGAGTTGACAGCCAGACAGCAGAAAATATGAGAGAAAACATGCACAGTCGCCCAGGATATTTTGAGGTTGAGCGTTAAGCCTAAAAAGTGGCATTTATCACTTCTGCCCACATTCATTATGCTGAACTTAATCTCATGGCCCTACCTAGCTACAAAGGAGACTAAGCAATGTAGTTTGGCTGTGTGGTCAGGAAGAAAATGAAAAAGGTTTACATATATAACGAATCTGCTTCAGAGTGTGTTGCCACAGGCTGGCAATTTTAAGGTCAAATAATGAATCTAAATAATGGTCACATGGCAATTGCCATTAAGTGTTATTAATGATTACAATAAAGTCATTATTTAGGAGTAGCTAATATAGAATTAAGGAGTCCTGGTGGCACAGTGGTTAAATGCTCAGTTACTAACTGAAAGGGCAGCGGTTGGAACCACCAGCCACTCCATGGGAGAAAGATGTGGCAGTCTGCTTCTGTAAAGATTACAGCCTTGGAAAGATTTACAGCCTTGGAAACCCTATGGGGCAGCTGTACTCTGTCCTATAGGCTCACTATGAATCAGAATTGACTTGATGGCAACTTTTTTTTTTTAATATAGAATTAGGTAACATAATAACAATAGTGTTTATTCTTAATGCTGATTAATAGTTTAAATTTACTTGTAGGAAAATATTTAGAACTTTTAAAGAAACTGTATACACAAATAATTGGTATGTTAATCAGATACCATGAGTATACTGATATACTTACGTTTTATAAGGATTACTGTATACAGTATACTTAAAATTTTTCTTCCTAGAAAATAATTTCGTAAATTATTTTTACTAATTCACACTACACCTACTCCTTACTTACTGTCTCGTCTGACATTTTCCATTTACGACAATAGAAAAAATATCTGACTATGTTGTTTATTAACGAGGAGCTGAGAAGAGACGGGGAGGAGGAGGAGGAGGGCAGTTTGTGAGAGGGAGTGAGCTAGGGCAGGCCGCTGGCGGTTCATATTACCCAGGCCTGCCTTTGTGAGCATGAGGCAGATGGGCATCCTCCGCAGCCTCTACGAGGCCCAGGTGGCCAGGCCTCACTTGCCTGCAGGCCTGAGAGACGCCCGCCACTGCCAGGGCCAGAGAACCGGGAAGGTGGAGATCAGGGGTCTGTGCAGAGGCCTGGAGCATGGTGGGCCCCTGCTGCTCCGGAGGCAGCAGGCAACCCCCAACCACCACTACCACCCCCAACCCCTGTGGACTCTGCAGTAGTGGGAAAGGCATGGTGGGGAAGGGGGGCCTATCATGCCATGTATATCCTGAGACACACCAGGTGCGCCCAAAGGGCCATGTGTACCGGGAGGACACTGGCGCCAGAGACAGGGCACGGCCAGACTCTTGTATAACACCAAATTTCACATAATGACCTTGGCTTTGGAACCTAACCATATGGATAAGAGAGGAGTGGGTGTATCTTAACCACTGCTTAGCCTGAAGTTGTTATTTATTACTTTAATAAAATATTATATTTACGTTAATATATTCCCATTTATAACTAAGAATAATGTTACAAACATAACTTTGTTTAAATGCAAATGTGAAATAAACAGGAGAATTATGAGACAGTAAAATCATGATTCATTCACATATGCTTTTTCAGTGACCATGCCCTTTCACAGCTGTTTTATCTATATTATTACTTAAAGGATGTTTTTACCTGAAAATTGCATATGATGTGTTTAATATTACTAAAACACATTTCATTTTGTTTCTTTTAGGCCTATGGCATGTCAGCATTACCTTTAAATCTGATAAAAGGCACTAGAAGTGCTGCATATGAACGTCTAGAAAACACCGAAGACATTGAAGAAGTGGAGCAACAAATTCAAACGATTAAATCAAAAGTGAGTTGGTGTTTTGTTGTTATTGGGAACCATAAACTTACTTCCTCTTTGACCTGCTTATCTGATGTGACTTAGACATTGGCAAACCCATTTTTCTTTATTTGATTTTCTTTGCCATACATCCTTCAAGAACCAAGCCCGTATTTTAAAAAATGCCTCTATGAAATATAGGACACTGGCAGTTTGAAAATTTTTATCAATGTTCTAACGACTTTGCTGGTTTTCATATATGCTCATTTCATGTGCATCATCAGATTTTACTCTATGTTCAGGTTTTATGTACTTGTTAAATAAGCTAAAGATTACTGTAACTACTGGCTAATTAAATACACTGTCCCTTCAAGTAACAGATAAATCTTAAAATTATTTAAAGAACTATGAAAAAAAGGAAAGTTTTCTAAATCATTCTACTAGACTAGTATAATCTTGATACAGAAACCAGACAGTAATAGCACATACGAAAAAAGAAAGCATTATACTCGTCTCTTTTATGAAAGTAGAGGCAAATATTTAAAAACCGTAAATAAAAATATTAGTAATTCAGAGTCTATGCTGTAATAAAAGAATATTTTATAGTTACCAATTTAGGTTTATTCCAGAAATGCGAGGATAATACATTGGAAAATATATTGAGATTAAATGAGAAACGTAAGCATCTTAATAGATGCCAAAGAGTGTTTGAAAAACTCGGTAGATTTGTAGTTATGATTAAAAAAAAAAAAGTCTTATCAAATTAGAAGACAAGAAAGTGCTTAAATTAAAAAGGAAGACTGTAATAAGCATCATACATGGTGAAGGAATGGAAACATTCCCATTCTTCAGCATTTACCTGGAGGTCTTAGATAGGAAATAAATTACGTATAAACATTGGGGAAAGGGGGAGGGAGGAAGAGAGACATAGGAAACAATCTTTATTATTTGCATATGATACCATCAACCAAGAAAATTCAAAAGAATCAACTAACAAACTAGTGGAACTAATTATGAGTTTTTTGGGGTGCCTAGATACAAACTTACAAAAATCATTAACCAGTTAGAGGGTATCTTAGTCATCTAGTGCTGCTATAACAGAAATACTGCAAGTGGATGGCTATAACAAAGAGAAGTTTATTTCCTCACAGTAAAGTAGGCTAAAAGTCCAAATTCAGGGTGTCAGCTCCAGAGGAAGGCTTTCTTTCTCTGTCGGCCTTCTCATCAATCTTCCCCCGGACTAGGAGCTTCTCCGTGCAGGGACCCTGGGTCCAAAGGACATGCTCTGCTCCTGGCACTGCATCTTGGTGGTATGAGGTCCCCTATTCTCTGCTTGCTTCCCTTTCCTCTTATCTCCTGTAAGATAAAAGGTGATGGAGGCCACACCCCAGGGAAGCTCCCTTTACATTGGATTAGGGATGTGACCTTAGTAAGGGTGTTACAATCCCACTCTAATCCTCTTTAACATAAAATTACAATCACAAAATGGAGGACAGCCACACAATAGTGGGAATCATGGCCCAGCCAAACTGATACTCACATTTTGTGGGGGACATAATTCAATCCATGACAGAAGGTGTAATAAAAAAATGATCTCATTCGTAATAGCTATAAACTGTAAAAAAGAAATAACAGATTCTTCCTGATAAAAATTACAAGATTTACTGAAATACATAACTGGGGCAGTAGGTCACCTTAGTAATCAAGGATGTGACAGTTATCTCTTGGATCATCAGTCTTTTAAAATTTTACTTGTGTCAGGTGTTGGTGAGAATTTAGGGAAAGGTATACTGTTGGTGGGAAAATAAAATATACAGCTTTTTGGAAAAAAATTACAAGTTGTGACATATGCCTCTGGACATAAACACATACCTTTTAATAATTTAAGTTTATTCTAACAGTTTACCTCTAAGAATCTATCCTGCTGAATTATATGCTCACATTTGCACCTATGTATACAAGGATTTTCATGGCACAACGTAATGCCAAAAGGAAAAATATTGGGAACAATCTAAATGTTTAAAAATAAAATGTTAAATTAAGATACTGTGGTAAAATGTCCTGTCCAGTGATGAAAAGGAATGAGGTAGATTTATATATATTGAAGATGTTTAATATTTTTAAAAAGTTTCAGGACAACGAAGTATCTTGTTTGCATAGATGGTACAGGCTGTAAAGTCAGGCTACCTCAGTTCAAGTTCTGGCTCTAGTGATTACGCACATTACATCTGTGGGCCTTATTTTCCTCATCAAATAAATTAATATGATACTATTACCTACTTCAAAGAATTATTCTGGAGATTTAAGGAGAATAAATTTATAAAGAACAGACCAGTTTTATAGATATATGGAAAGTGCTCAAGAAATATTAGCTATTATGTACAACAAAAAAACTGTAAGTATGTATTTGCACCTACATACACACACATGCAAAAAATACATAGAACATGTGTAGAAGGATATTGGTCATCTTAACTGTGATAATCATTGGAAAGGGGAGTGGTAGGAAGCATGAGAACTGGGGATAGTGTGAAGGAAGTTTTCACATTTTACTTTTAAACAAAGTATATGTATTCACGTACTTTATAACTAAATATTTTCAAGTGAGATAGCTGATTGACTGTTGGGTTTCCCTCCGTGTTTGTTTCTCTGGCCAAAATTATACTGGTTTAGTCAATTGACAAAGCAGAGTGGACATCCATTACTCACTCTACTGGAGCATTCACTAAATAGGAGATAACTTGAGTTTTTTTTCAGTGGACTCTATTAAATCAGTTTACTAAATGGTTTTTGTCTGAAATAATGAAAGCTAGCAGTGAAACACAACTACCTCGTTGTTTGTATTCCTTTGACATTAGAATGGCAGTTATGAGAGAAATTGTTATGGCTAAGATAGAAAGTATTAACTCTTCTCATACCACATACTTGAAGCATCATTGCTTGAATCTGTCTTCCATAAGGGAATGCCCGTCTTATTCCTCTGTCCTTCTGAAAACACCTTTCTTTAAGGTTACCTTCTCTGGGATCCAAGTTGATAATACACAAATGTACTTGACTTAAAGGAGTGAAGATAATTATAGTCCAGTGTATGCAAAATGTTTTCTCTTGACCAGTATCATCAGCATCTCCTGGAAATTTGTTAGAAATACAAATTATAGGCCCCACCCAAGACCTACTTAATTAGATTTTCTGGGGATGGGGTCCAGATTTCTGTGTTTAACACACTTTTCAGGTGATTCTTATGCATGCTAAAGTTTGAGAAGCAATAAGATAAGGTATGGGAGAGGATGGCTCATGCCAGAAGAGCATGGAGGTGCCATGATATAAAGAGATCATTATAACTATGTAAATTTCCTATTAAAGAATATTTGGGTATCATCGTCGTTATATCTGTGTTCAAACTGAGGCTGCACTAGGATGCGCTAGAGAGCAATATGTTTGTGTAAGGAGTCCCTGGGTGGCATAAACCGTTAAGCGCTTGACTGCTAGCTGAAAGGCTGGTGGTTTGGATCCACCTGGAGGCACCCTGGAAGAAGGTCTGGTGATCTGCTTCCAAAAGTTCACAGCCTTGAAAACCCTATGGAGCAGTTCTGTTCTGCACACATGGGGTCACCATGAGTCAGAATCGATTCGACGGCAACTAACAACAATAAGCAGCAGGGAAACTCCAGTGGGAAAGCATATTTATGAGACAAAGTACTGCTCATTGTTTCAATAAGCATCACATAAACATAGATGGAGATTATCTGCCATATAGGTTGGCCAAAGAAAGCATGACTCATTTGAAAATGTACTTGGAGAATTAGGGAGTGCCAATTCTTAGCAATTGTTATGAAAACTTCTCCATGCCACCTATACTAGCATTCCATCATTCTGCTGGTTTTTGAATCAAGGCCTTAGAAGCTTCAGTTCAGGTACAGCATAACACACTCACTTGACCAGAAGGAGAGAGGGGGTAGGACCAGATCAAATATAAGGGATAAAAGGAGGCAGTTTCGAGGGGAGGCAAAAATTGAAAAAGGTGCATAATGCCTTTTTTTGTGGAGTGTTTTTAACAAAATTATCTCTCTCCACATAACTGTACCATATATTGGGACAGGGATCAAGAGGAAGTTCAGTAGTAAATGTTCACACATCCACATGTTGATGCTCACCTAGGTTTAGAGATTTTTATTGTTACATTGCAGTTGTTAGTTTTTTTCCAATTGGTAAATTTGCCTAAGGAGTATCCAAACCTAAAAAAGTTTTTGTTGCCTGATCTACTAAATCTGATGGGTAATTTATTAAGACCTTAGTGGTAAAAACTGTGTTTTATTTTGTTCTGTTATTTGCAGAGCAAAGACGGTCGACCTTTGCCAGCAAGGGATAAACGCGCCTTAAAACAATTGGAAGAAAGGTTACGAACACTGAAGAAAAGAGAGAGGCACTTAGAATTCATTGAAAACAGTTGCTGGACAAAATTTTGTGGTGCTCTGCGTCCCCTGAAGGTAAATGGGGTTTAAAAAAATTATAGTGTCACTCTTCACCCAAATTTGTATCATTTCTCTCAGAATGATTGAGTTTTTCTCTTGAGGCATAATACCATGGTGCTTAAAAACTTGGATTTTGGAGTTAAAATAACCTAGTTGTGAATGATAGCTCTGCTGTTTGGCAGGTCGGGCAAAGTACGTGACTTCTCTGAACTTCATGTACTCTTGTGTAATCAGGATTATAACATAGTTATTGGGAAATTTAAATAAAATATATCTGAGTAATGTAGTATACTTCCAGCATATCAAGTTTGTATGTTTATGTAACGAGGAGACCTGGGACCCATATTAGAACTTAGGAATCCTAACTGAAAATAATAGAATTTGCCTAATTGTTAGATGATATGTTTCTGAAGGTATGTAAAAGGTATTATTTAAGAAGGAAAACCATATTTTTTCTTTCTGGAAACCATCATTTGCTTGCCTTGAATTCTTGGAACTGAAGTACCTAAACTTAAGTACTAGATTGAGTTAAGGCCATCATAATATGACTCTGGGACTTAAAAAGTAGCCATAACTGCTGGCCAGAGACCTCTGTATATGCCCAATTTGTATCTGGATGGCGGAGAACATTTCAAACACCAGAGCTTTGTATATATATAGTACCAAAAACCAAACCCATTGCCATTGAGTCGGTTCTGACTCAGTGACCCTATAGGACAGAGGAGAACTGCCCCATAGAGTTCTCAAGGAGCAGCTGGTGGATTCCAACTGCTGACCTTTTGGTTAGCAGCCATAGCTCTTAACTGCTGTGCTGCCAGGGCTCCTTGTATACAGTAGCAAGGTATAATTCAGAAAAGTACTGTGACTGCCGAGTAGACTGGTTTGCAGGGAAATTAGGCAAGATGAAGCTAGAAAGTGGGTTTTAGCTAAATTTAAACAAAATAAAATTTTAGAGAATGCCATCAAAGACCAGTCAAGTGCTGCTTTGTCTTCCTCTTATAATTAGAAAGGAAATGCACTGACTGCTCACTGTAAAAAACTCCTCTTTTGAAAGAGTTAGTCCTACTATAGTATGGCTCTTTTTTAACCATCTGTTAGAATAAATTTTTTAAAGACTCACCCCAGTTCTTTTTCCCAAGATGATTTGTCTTCATGGCACCCAAGGTATGGTAACACCCTTCCCAACCCTTATTTTAATCCTAAATTCTTTATGTTGTTATTAGGTGCTATCGAGTCAGTTCCTCCTACTCATAGCGACCCTGTGTACAACAGAATGAAACACTACCTGGTCTTGTGCCATCCTCACAATCGTTGCTATGTTTGAGCCCACTGTTGCAGCCACTGTGTCAGTCCATCTCCTTGAGGGTCTTCCTTTTTTTTGCTGACCCTCTGTTTTACCAAGCATGATGTCCTTCTCCAGGGACTGGTTCCTCCTGATAACACGTCCAAAGTACGTGAGACCAAGTCTGACCATCCTTGCTTCTAAGGAGCATCCTTGGCCATACTTCTTCCAAGACAAATTTGTTCGTTCTTCTGGCAGTCCTTGGTATATTCATTATTCTTCACCAGCATCATAGTGCAAAGCATCAGTTCTTCTTTGGTCTTCCCTATTCACTGTCCAGCTTTTGCATGCATATGAGGTGACTGAAAATACTATGGCTTGGGTCAAGTGTACTTTAGTCCTCGAGGTGACATCTTTGCTTTTCAATACTTTAAAGAGGTCTTTTGCCGCACATTTGCCCAGTGTAATACGTTGTTTGATTTCTTGACTGCTGCTTCCATGGATGTTGACTATGCATCCAAGTAAAATGAAATCTTTGACAACTTCAATATTTTCTTCATTTATCATGATGTTGCTTACCGGCCCAGTTGTGGGGATTTTTGTGTTCTTTCTATTGAGGTATGTACTGCTACTCATAAGGTTTTCACTGGCCAGTTTTTTTAGAAGTAGAATGCTAGGTACTGCTTCCTAGTCTGTCCTCGTCTAGAAGCTCCACTGAAACCTATCCACCATGGTGACCCTGCTGGTATTTGAAATACTGGTCGCGCAGCTTCCAGCATCACAGCGACACACAAGCCACCACAGTACAATAAACTGACAGATGAGTGGTGGTAAATTGTTTATCGTTTCTTATAAATATGTACAGCCTGGTCTCTAACGTCGGCTGTCTTCTTTTAAACATGCTGTGTCCCATTTCAGTTAGCATGTGCTTAAAGGGATTTTTTAAATCATTATTAAGTGTACAGATTGATTTTGCCAAATAGATGTATAGATATATAAACAGAAAGACAATATAGAACATCCCTGATACCCCAGAAAGCTACCTGTGCTCCTTTGTGGTCAATCCCCCACCCCGCCCCCTTGAGTGCTGGCTTCAGGCACAACCACAATTTCCACTGAGATTTCTGTTGGGATTACTTTGAACTATAGGTAAATTTGGAGGAACTTGGTATCTTAATAGGAGCCCTGGTGGCACAGTGGTCAAGCGCTAAACTGCTAACCGAAATGTGGGTGATTTGAACCCACCAGCTGCTCCACAGGAGAAAGATGTGAAAGTCTGCTTCTGTGAAGATTTACAGCCTTGGAAACCCTATAAGACAGTTCTACCCTGTCCTGTAAGGCCACTATGAGTCAAAATCGACACGGCACCAATGGGTTTTTTTGGTTTTGATATCTTAATATTAAATCTTGCAATCCATGAACCTGTTAAATCTTTCCATTTATTTATGTCATCGCAAATTTCTCTCAGCAGTGTTTTGCAGTGTTCACGTTAGAGGTCTTGGATATATTTTGATAAGTTTATAAATATTTCTTCCTTTATAGACTAATGATATTGTTTAATTTCAGTTTTCAGTTATTCATTGTGAGTATGTAAAAATACCGTCATTTCTGTACATTGACCTTGTGTCTTGCAAGCTTGCTGAAGTATTCTAGTAGCTTTATTATAGATCTCTTAGGAATTTTCACATACATGATTATATTAGCTGCTAAAAGACATTTTTACTTCTTTTCAAATCTAATATTTCCAGTTTTCATTTTGTTTTGGTTTTTAATCTTTCCTTATTGCACTGGCTGGAAGGTCTGGTGCAATGTCAAGTTGAAATAGGGAGAGCTGATATACTGGCCTTGCTCCTAAGTTTAGAGGAAAAGTGTCTGGTCATTCACCATTAGATACGATGTTAGTTTTAGATTTTACTTAGATGCCTTTTAACAGATAGAGGGTGTTTCTTTCTATTCCTAGTTTACTGACAGTTTTTATCATGAATGGATATTGAATTTTGTTAGGTTTTTTTTTTTTTTTTTTGCATCTATTGAGGTGATCATATAATTTTTTTCTCCTTTATTTTTTAATATGGTATATTACATTTGATTTTTCAAAAGTTGAACCAACCTTGTATTCCTAAGATAAACCCCACTTGGTTGTGATATATTATCTTTTTTATATGTTTCTGGATTGATTTGCAAATATGTTATCGAGGATTTTTATTTCTATGTTGATAAGAGATATTTTTCTATGTGGTTTTTTTAATCTCTTCGTTTGGTGTCAGAGTAATGATGGCTCGCTAAAATGAATTGGGAAGTGCTCCCACCTACTTTATTTTCTGAAAGAATTTGTATATGGTTATTATTTCTTCCTTAAATATTTGTTATAATTCACCAGTAAAGACATCTGGTCTTAGAGCTTTCTTTATGGGAAGGTTTTTTATTACAAACTCAGTTTCTTTGCTGTAAGGTTGCTCTTCTATTTCTGTACTATGATTGCTTTCTTTTAAATCCTTGAGCATGTTTTTAATAGCTGTTTTAAAAGTTCTTTTCTATCAGTTCTGGATCTGTTCCCATAGACTAATTTTTCACCTAATTTTGGGTTACATTTTCCTGCTTTTATGCAATGTATGATTGGATGCCAAAGAGTAGTTTTGTACTGAAGACTTATAAAAATAAGTATTTAATTAGAATAAGTTAGTGGCTCCTTAAAACACAACATTTACATATAATACCTAACATTTGTAAGCATACTGTCTAATGTTCATTAAATACTTGATTGAACTCACCCCTGACAGAAGGACATAGTTTGAGTCTAGCTAATTGGCCTAGGTAAGTTATTAAGTTTTAAATATAAGGAGATTTTATTGTATATATACCTCTTGTGTTTACATAGAAGGTTATAAATTCACGTTCATAATTATGTCACATACATTTTTTAAAAAGAAGTTTCTATTTATTTAAATCAGACTCATAATAAAGAACTAGTAAAAAATCATATTTTTATGTGTCCCACTTCTCTCCCAATCCTTGCCCCCCCCGCCCCACCCCCAACAAACAATCAAACCTAAAAACAACTTAACTTCATAAGGTAAACAAGCAGTGAAATATAATTTTATCATACACTGATAGTACTTAGTTGTTTTGAAGGTTTGTAGGAATATTTTAATTTTTCTTTACTAGTCTCTCTCCATCTTCCTAGAATCCTCTGATTTGAATATGAATTATATTTAAAGATACAGCAGATTTCCTTCTTCAAAGAATAATATTTAAAGCATGTATGGCTTTTCTTTGTTTCGGAGCCCACTTTATGAGAATGTCTAAAGACAAAGACTTTTTAACTTTAAAGAAGGTTTATTAAATATTTTATTGGACCTGTAAGTATGCATTCCAAAATTTTACTTGATCACTCTTTGAGAGGTAAGTTTTGGCTTTCAGCGTAGGTGCTTCAAAATTTGGAATTATTGACACGTTTTAGGGTGGTTTTCCTTGGTGGTAGTTGGGTATTAAAGGTTGTATAACCTTTGTAGTGTCTTTTGTAGATTGCTGGTAGAAACTTTATGGTATAGATGTTTGGTGATCATCTATGGAGAATAAACTGACCTGTAAGTGATCTAACCCATCTTTACCTTGAGATAGCAGTGAAACTCAAGTGCGTAGAAATGCATGGATTGGGACCCGGAAATCAGCTGTTTAGGAAAGATAACATGTTTTTATTGCAGAAAAAAATATTTTTGAGGTAATAAAGACA